TTTTTTTTTTTTTAATGATTTTGAGTTTTGTTTCACATAGTTCTCCAACTCTATCCATGATCTCCTGCACTAATCTCCTTTTGAGTCATTGACAGTGGTAGCCAGGCACCATCTAGTTCTTCTGGTCTCATGGTTATATAGGCTGAGGATCACATAGTCTACAAGGTCCTTGGACTAATTGTTTCCATATGTCTTTGGTTTTCTTCATTCTTCCTTGCTCTGAATGAGGAGAGACCCATTGTTGCACTTAGATGGTCAATTGCAAGCCTTTAAAACCCTTTGCTACTTGCCAAAGTAGGATGTAAAACATTTTTTTTTTTGTAGTATGTTATACCAATTGAACTTGATGACCCCTATAACCATGGCTCCAAGCTCACAGGTCCAACTACTTGCTCTCTCAGGGTAGCTGTAGCCAAGAAGCCACCACAGACTTGCCCCTTTAAGCTATACTACACACCTGGACATCCTTACAGCACATACAAATACACATGTAGAAACATTGTTTGCTAACCCTATACATGGTCATGGGAACACTACTCCCTGCCTAGATATACCTGATTATTCAGCCCATCCACCCGTCTATCCACCTGTAGATCACTTCTTGCCATCACTGACAGTGCAGTACTGTACATGCAAAAGGGTTTGTCTTTAGTGTCTGTACCTCCTGTGTACCTCTCTATGTCTTCCTCTTACTCAGTGCCACCATGTTGATCACTCACTTTTGGTACATTGCCCTTCCCTTCATCAAATCAATACTTGTCTCTAGCTATCTAGCAGTGCTCCCTCCCCTCCACTCCCTTCACTCAGAGGAGGATCAGTGCAGGAGATCATGGATAGAGTTGTGGAACAAAACTCAAAATCATAAAAAAAAATCATTGCTTCCTGATAAGCAACAAAGAAAGCTTTCTTCCATATATAAACTTTTTTTCTTTTTACTTTTTACAATAGTAAATTAATAAAATATCTATCTTCCTGTTATTGACTTATTTTACTAAGTACTGTGTCCTCCGTGTTCATCCA